CTGGGAAACCTTTAGGCCAGAAACCACAACAGAACAGGAAGCAGCTGGATTAAAAGGGCAGTGAGAGTAAAGGCAGTGAAGGAGGAGGGTTCCCTGGTAATTTCTACACTGAAGAAGAAGGAAACATTTGTGACATGGAAGTGAAGGAATAGATCCAGGAAAGCCGGGAGAGGTGCCAGGAGAAGTGTGCCAGGTGCCAAAATCAGCAAAAGAATATGATATGTCTTTTCCATTCTGGTCTATCCCAATGCCAGATATTGATTTAAGCCACTGTGCTGACTGAACGGAAATCAAACATATCTTTGATATGATGCATTCCTATTTTTCAGTCTTCAAGGTTCTTGCCAGAACTCAACTGACTTTTGTCAGTCAGCTATCAAGAGCAAGATGGTATAGTTTCAAACCAGTTTATAGAAAAAGACATGTAATATTCTCATATAGGTTTCTATGGAGAAAATGAAGACAATAGCTATGACTCATTAAATGTTAACTCCGAGGAAGGGACAATCCTAAATGCTTTAAAATGTACTTACATCAGCTCTACAAATATTTTTTACTCCATATTCCATTTGAGAAAAGTGAAACTCAGGGAAGTTGAGTTGCCTCTGGGCAGAATGTGGGTTCCATGCAGAATCCCATATAGTGAGTTATGGGTGATTCTTTAAGTTATATATTGGTTTCTGTTTTGTTCTGATCTATTTTTTCACTTGCGGAATTATTCTTTCTCTTTTTCACTGTACATCTCTTTTTGATGGCTACATTTGTACTCTCTGATGATTTTAATCTATTTTTTGTTCTTTACCTTAGATTTTTGTGGGAGAGAAATTCTCTAATCCAGTTTCATTTTTCCGTCTGATGAAGGAAGTTTCTCAAAATTTTATAGTCATTGCAGTATGGTTATCTTCGAGTCCCCCAAATTTCAGGATTTTTATAAAGCCAATGCTGCCCTCTGTAGAACAATTCAAAAGTTAATCAGGAAAGATCATCAAGCAAAACTATCAAAGAATAGAACAGGAAAAATTCTTACATATCTAGCTTTACCAGAAAATCAACTGTATTTATAAAACAGCAATGGTATAAACACAATGACAGTAAGGAAAGTTAGGTGACCAGAGTAATAAAGAAAATAATCTCGGAAATTGTGGTATTATCAGTAATTAAGTTTGAAATTAAAGGTATCTTAGCTGTTAAGAAGGAAGAAAAGAAGTTTCAGTAAATGGTAACAGGATAAATGCCTGGCAATCTAGACATAAACCAATTTAGATTCTCATCTCATATCACAGATGAAAATAAAATCCTAATGGAATATAAAAGTAAATGTGAAAGATATAAAAGGGAACTGATCATTCATGAGATCCATACAGGAATGAGAATGGGAGAGGACTGGTTGTATGTGTTCAACATTCTGGCACAGGAGAAAATATTAAAAAATGAGCTGCTTTTTGTAAACATAAAATTGACAAAGAGTTGTACCATAGGAATCCAGCTGCCATCTGCATAGGAAGGGTTTTTATTACTTTTAAGAATTAAGGATATATAAAAACATCATTCATAAAGATAATACAAAACTAGTTATGTCAAAAAACAAAACCCAAATAAAGAGAACTAAAAATAGCAAACAAAGCAAAAGAAAAAACTTTCTAGCCCACTAGTATTTAAAAACGGTTGAACAATGATGCTTGACATTTTAGCCTATTAAATAAGCAGTTATTTAAAAGACATAAAATGTTGATTTTATATGCTTTGTGCCAGTACATCCATTTCTTGAAATCTGTAGCCCAAAAAGTGTTTGTAAAGGTTAAAAAAATTATGTCCAATTATATTAACACATTTTTTCTTCAGGTCCTACCCTATTTCTCTTCTTCCCTTCACAGATAAACTTCTCAAAAGAAGTTGCTATCCACTCTGTCTCCAACACCTTTCCTCTTATTTAACCTTAGTCAATATACTCCAATCTGGATTCTAAGGAATTAATTCTGCCAAACCAGCCCTCACTTTTCCTGAATACAGGACATCATCTTCTAAACGCATTTTTTCCCTTAAATATCCTCTCATCACCATTCTTGTCCTCCTATTGTGCTGCCATTCCATTCCAGCATCCTTTTCTGGCTCCTCATTCTCTTCCCTGCGTTAAAATGTGAAGGTCACTAAGGTTCAGTTTCTTGTCATCTCCCTAATCACTACTCTCTTTCTAAGAGACTTCATTCGTTTCCAGGCCTTCAGGGACCAGGTAGACCCCAGCTCCCAACTAAACACTTCTAGCCTTGGCCCTCTGTAAATTCTAGAACTGTACATCCAATCGTCAAGCTTTAGAGTCTGGATCCTCCAGTTTCTGGTGATAGGAGCTACTTTTCTTTTGCCTATGGTATTAGCATATAATGTAGTTGAAATTAATTGATTGCTTAATACTTTTATGTTTTCTTCCAGCAAAAAGGAAGGTTCCAAGAGAGCTGGCACTTTCTTTTCTTTCTCCACCTTTTTACCCGGTCAAGGCAGTCACAGAACCTGTGATTTAGATACTCAAGTGTTACATTTTGCTTGAATGAAATGAATGAATGAATGAACTGCACCTCCAAGCTTCACATGAGGTTGCAATATCAGTCTTGGCATCGATTTATTAAAAACGTTGACATACAATAAATATAGTAAAATAGTTAAGTACACGAGTACATTAATATGGTCATCTATGATGGGCTGGTGTGCTCTTTGAACTGGATGCTTTAACTTAGAATTGCTTCATACTACGAATAAATGTTGTGACAAACTTTATTCAATTTATTTCATAATGAAGACAGAAAAAATAATCTTTTGAAATGACTAAACATGTGGCAGTATGATGAATTGTATCTGTCCATAAGAATTGTTTCATTAAGAGCATAGGTCTGGTTCCTTAGCTCTTAACCTTTCTTGCAAGCTTGACAATAAAAAGAAGGATCTCATGATTTCTTGCTCTGACAACTTTCCAGGTACAGCAGCTCTTTCTTTTCCATATAGAAACTGATTCCTTGGAAATACCTCTTCACGGCCAGTATGGAGTCTTCATGGCTCAGGGGAGTCCTTCCATACTCAATTCCTGCACCAAGCAGGTCTCCAGGACTTCCCAACGCTCATAAAGCCCAAGGAAGAACTTCTATAGGCCAGTCTCATTCCAGCCATCATCTTATGCAGAACAGATTGAAGATCTGCTGAAGCATCTGGTGGAGGACAGCAGTGGTCGGAGCCTTCTCGACCTTACCGCCATCCACCGGAAACAATTGGAACCAGCTAACTGTCCATCAGTAGGAGACTGGTTAAATAATTTATGACACACGCATTCAATGGGAAACAATACAACTGTTTAAAAAGATAAGTTCTCTATGTGTTGAAAATCAAGTGAAAAAAGAGATGCAGAACAGTGAATATGGCATGCTATCTTTTATATAAAAATAGGGAGAGCGTAATAAAAGAATATAGCTATATTCTTAGTTTGCATATGCATAAAGAAATGGAAAGGACTTAAAAGACAGCAATAACTTTTGTAGGCAATGTTGGAAAAAACTGTGTCAAAGTATACATTTATTCATATGCCAAAATTTAAATTCACTGGTAACTAAAGAAATGCAAGTTAATAAAATATCCATAAAGGGAAAGATCAGTAGTGGGGAAATGCACACTCAAACATTGCTGGAGGTAATATGTTGGAAAGAAATTTCAATATGTCTTGAACCAGTATTCTATCTTTAGGATTTATACAAAAACAAGGGAAAGTTTTATGTCCAGATTTTATGTTTATTACACATTCTATTAAAAAAATGGAGGACAAGAAGGGCATACATTCAAGAACAAATAATGACCAAAGAAAACCATAGTGTGTTTAGTTATTGGACAATTGTGTAGCCATTTAAAAATGTGAGTGGATAACAAAAGCATGAAAAAATTATCGACGTTGGAATTCCATTTCGAGGCAAAAACTCAGGCTATATTATCTACATAGCATGGTCACAGTTTGGTATTTAATGAGAGACAAAGGATACGTGTTTTAAATAATTAAAAATTTGAAAATAACCAAAATTATAATTGAGGTGTCTATTAAATTGCGTGGGATAAGAATTATAAAGTTTTTACCAGGGAAAAATTTTAAGCATCTTCCCCCACGCCCGCTTCTGCCAGATTTCCTTTGAATTTATACAAAAGCTGCATTTCATTGTTATTCAAAAGACAGAAGCCAGGAAGTGTAAATCTTAAAGAAAAAGTATGCATTTGTGGGGAGAGGTCAGACGCCGTGAAGAGTCTACACCAAACGTGCAGCATATTATAAGTGCACCGGTTCCGGCCTAATGACTCCCACAGACAAAGCTAGCCGCGGAGGCTCCGCTCGTGCCCAGCTGGCGCCGCTCCGCTTCCCTGACCCCCGCCCTCCCCGAGCCCCGAGCTCTTGCTCCCATCCCCCACACGCCCGCCCACTGACAGGTCGGGAGGCCGCGCAGGCGCAGTAGCTGCCGTGGCCGCTCCTAGCCCGGGGGATCCTGGGACGAGGCCTTTCCGGAAGGGCCGGCTTGGTGTCCGGCGCTAGCCCGTGTTCCAGGCCCAGGTCCAGGCCCAGGCTGGTGTTCCAGGCCCTTGCTGCAAGGCTGGCCCGTAGCCGCGGCGACGCTCTCGTGACAGCGGAGGGCGTAGCGGGCGCTCGCTGAGGTGCCGGCCTCGCCGCCGAGCGAGCCGCGGAGCGCAGTACGTGGCGGCACCTCCCCCTCGGCCCGGAGCGGAACTGCTGGAGGAGCGGCGCAGGCCGGCCGAGGTGAACCGGGTCGCTTAACTGGCTTCAGGTGATGAATCATCTGCGTAATCGTCAGATTTGAGGTCCACAGCCCTTTGTGGGCCTGCTGCAGAGCAGTCTGCAGTGGATGACTGATAGGTGTGCTCCGAGGGGCGCCGCAGTGACTGCTTGCCCACGATAAGGAAAGCGAGCTCTCCTGGTCTTTGACATCCTCGTTTCCTAAAGCGTTCACGTTATAACCCCTGCCTCCGGCGTACGTCTTTGTGCAAGAGGAAAGCTTTCACATGAAAGTGTCTCTTGGTAACGGCGATATGGGCGTCTCTGCCCATTTGCAGCCTTGCAAAGCAGGAACCACACGTTTCTTTACCAGCAATACTCACAGTTCGGTGGTGTTGCAAGGCTTTGATCAGCTTAGAATAGAAGGATTGCTTTGTGATGTGACTCTGGTCCCGGGTGATGGAGATGAAATCTTCCCTGTTCACAGAGCTATGATGGCATCTGCTAGTGATTATTTCAAGGCTATGTTCACAGGGGGAATGAAAGAACAAGATTTAATGTGCATTAAGCTTCATGGAGTGAACAAGGTTGGTCTGAAGAAAATAATTGATTTTATTTATACTGCAAAACTTTCTCTTAATATGGACAATCTTCAGGACACACTTGAAGCTGCCAGCTTTTTACAAATTTTACCTGTTTTGGATTTCTGTAAAGTGTTTCTTATTTCAGGAGTCTCTTTAGATAACTGTGTTGAAGTTGGGCGAATTGCTAACACCTATAATCTCATAGAAGTGGATAAATATGTCAATAATTTCATCCTGAAGAATTTTCCTGCGTTATTGAGTACTGGGGAGTTTCTAAAACTCCCTTTTGAACGGCTCGCCTTTGTGCTTTCCAGCAATAGTCTTAAGCACTGTACCGAACTCGAGCTGTTCAAGGCTGCCTGTCGCTGGCTAAGGTTGGAAGACCCTCGGATGGAATGTGCTGCAAAATTAATGAAGAATATTCGATTTCCACTGATGACACCACAGGACCTCATCAATTATGTGCAGACAGTAGATTTCATGAGAACAGACAATACCTGTGTGAATTTGCTTTTGGAAGCCAGCAATTACCAAATGATGCCGTATATGCAACCAGTGATGCAGTCAGATAGAACTGCCATTCGATCTGACTCAACGCACTTGGTTACATTAGGAGGAGTTTTGAGGCAGCAGCTGGTTGTCAGTAAAGAATTACGGATGTATGATGAAAGGGCACAAGAGTGGAGATCTTTAGCCCCCATGGATGCTCCTCGTTACCAGCATGGCATTGCTGTCATTGGAAACTTTCTTTATGTAGTTGGTGGTCAAAGTAATTACGATACGAAAGGAAAAACTGCCGTCGATACAGTTTTCAGATTTGATCCTCGGTATAATAAATGGATGCAGGTTGCATCATTAAATGAAAAGCGCACATTCTTCCACTTGAGTGCCCTCAAAGGACATTTGTATGCTGTTGGTGGGCGAAGTGCAGCTGGTGAACTGGCTACAGTAGAATGTTACAACCCAAGAATGAATGAGTGGAGTTATGTCGCAAAAATGTGCGAACCCCACTATGGCCATGCTGGAACAGTGTATGGAGGCTTAATGTATATTTCAGGAGGAATTACTCACGACACTTTCCAAAACGAGCTCATGTGTTTTGACCCAGATACAGACAAATGGACACAAAAGGCTCCAATGACTACAGTCAGAGGTCTGCATTGCATGTGTACAGTTGGAGACAAGCTCTATGTCATTGGTGGCAATCACTTCAGAGGAACAAGTGATTATGATGATGTTCTAAGCTGTGAATACTATTCGCCGACCCTTGACCAGTGGACACCAATTGCTGCTATGTTAAGAGGTCAAAGTGATGTTGGAGTTGCTGTCTTTGAAAATAAAATCTATGTTGTAGGTGGATATTCTTGGAATAATCGTTGTATGGTTGAAATTGTCCAGAAATATGACCCAGAAAAGGATGAGTGGCATAAAGTTTTTGACCTTCCAGAGTCACTTGGTGGCATTCGAGCTTGTACTCTCACAGTTTTTCCACCTGAAGAAAACCCTGGGTCACCTTCTAGAGAGTCACCTCTTTCAGCACCTTCAGATCATTCTTAGGAATAAGGTATAATACCTTTGCAATGCATCATGGATGATCTCCTACTTCCCTGTCAGCTGTGTCTTCTTACAGTGATTGGTAGTTATTAGATAGAGAGGTAACTGATGTTATTTGTATTGTTTGGCTTAGTGTGTATCCATGGTTAACAAATGCATTCTGAAAATGTAGTCAACATAGCCAACTGTCTTAACAGATGTAAAAAGATATGTAGAAAAATGTTCAAGTTAGATGTCTTTTTGTGGTGTTGTGTAAGTCAAATTGTAGCTATTGAGTAAATGTATAATTGTGTTCATTATGCTTCAAAGTTGAAAGTTTTCATCTTTGACTGCAAAACGTCAAAGGGAGGCAGCCTGCTCTAACCTAAAAGAATAAACAAAAGATCACCAAGCATTATTAGCTACCTCCCTTTTTTTATAGAGTTTTTGACATAGCTGCCAACCCACTAGATTGTGTGAGTGCATTCAGAATATGGTGAAGTGTCTTAGGCAGACAGGAGAAATAATAAATTCAAAAATATTAACTAGAAAAAACAGCATAGCCCTAAATCAGGGTCTCTTTGGAGGGGGTGGGGGTTGAGAAAATATAAACAAACAGGTCTACATACACACATATGTATATACATACATATATACATAGACACGTACATATGTGTATACATACATACACATATACGTATATAATTATTAAGTTGATTGGCTCTTTGGCTATAGTAAAATTGTTTTTAAATTTAAATTTTTTTCCACCTAGCAGCTATTTCTGTTCAAATAGGAGTTCAGTTCCAGAGAATAAGTGTCTCTGTAGTCATAACTGAATTGAGATAGATAAGGACTACAACCTATTAAATTGACAACCAAATTTGTCACTTGACTAAATTGTTAGTTCCAATGAAGCATATTACTTTTTCTGCTTGTATATTGTTTTCTGTAGGGTTGCTTTTATACAGGTTATTTAACGAAGTTTAGGTTTCAGAGAATTGTTTTGCTCAGTAAATTTAGGCTTTGTTATTTTCCACCTTTTTGTTGAGTAAAGCATGATATGAAAAAAGCAAAGAAAGAAATGTGGTGAACAAAGCTGTAGGATTTTAAGTTCAGTCTCCCCACTTAGTCATTCTAACATGAGTATTTGATTTGGGGAGGTTGCCCTCGTGCTGCTCCAGCCCGTGTGCATCCTGAGCTTTGTGTGACCTGCCTCAAGGTTATGATCTGAGCAAGCAGGAGATACACTGGCTGCATCAAATCAGAAAAATGTCCTTTTGGTGCTGTCTGAAGGACAGAACCAACTTCAGATTCCCCAGGAAGCCAGCTACGGAAAGCCTAGCACACAGCTGTCTTGCAGGTAACACTAAATTAGATTTTCAGCCTCTTCAATACCTAGGGCATCCCTAATGGTTGAGAACCATCTGGGGAGATCTTAATGGAAGCTTAGCAAATGGAATCATAGGAATCCTCTGCAGGCATTCTGAAGAAATGCTTTCCTGGAATAAATTGTCTACCTGAAGAAAAAATTTATGTGCATATATATGTATATCCCTATACCTGGGAGATTGTCGTAGTGTAAATCAGGAACAACGTTGTTATTGACAATCTCATAATAAAACTCAGGAACCAAGACAGAAGGAATTGGCTTCCAGGGATCTGAACCTTATTGCCCATACAAATGTTGATTCATTTAATGCTTTTTGTGATTTCTGCATTGGCAGAAATTTTCATACTTTCTCTGTGTTTTTTTAATGACTCAATTTTGTATTACTAAAATAGCACATTTGAGTACATTTAGAAAATAGAAAAAGTAGAATTTGCTATTAACCTTGTGTATTGAATAAGCAAGAAATGTCATTCTAATCATTTCCTTGATTATTAATGAGATTAAATATTTGTGTGTTTTGAGTAGCTGTGTTTCCTCTTTGATCAAACGTTCATGTCCTTTGCCTTTGTAATACCTGTTGGAGTTGCTTTGTTTTTCATATCAAGTTATAGCATCTCTTTATATAATAAATATAATTTAACTGGCATTTGCTTACATCGAGTTTTTTTCTCCATCTATTACAGTTTTAAAAAGGCAGGGCCATTCAGTCCATTTTTGAGATCAAATTTGTCTATCTTTTTGCGTTTTGGCCTTTTGGAGGATAATTTTGCTGTGCTTCCTTTATTTCTTACATAGTATAGATGTATTACTTTTTTGGTGCTAATTCTGACATGCTGAGATGGTATTGCCCTGCTTGGCTTCTGTTCTGCACAAGCTTTTCTCTTTCCCTTGTTGAAAAAAGGTTTCTGCCTTCTGTTACGTTTGACCCTGTTGCTTTCTAGTTAACTAAATATTGCTTAACGAGGTGAGCTAACTCACCTTCCTACATCCCATACTTCCAGTCTCACACACTCAACCTCTCATCCTTTTACTTGCTAATTTCCTGCAGTTGACAGCTCTCTTGGCAATCATAAAACAGCTGACTGGTGCTCTGTTAAAACTGCTAATTAAATCTGGAATTCCTTCCTTACAGATATGGAAATTTTAGGTGGCTTTGAAATGATTGACTGGAAAGAGATTTTCATAAGCTGATAATTTTTTGTAGAAAATTTAGGCTGTGTAAAAATATTTGGAAGAGGATGAAAAAACTGCAAGCACATAAAGTATTGTTAACATTTGATTTCTTGTTTCAATTTTTCTGATAAGTTCAAAAATTAGCATTTGTTAGCTTTTCTAATTATAAAATAATTTCTATTGTAGAAAGTACAGGAAAATAAAAGTGAACAAAAAGTGTAAATTATCAGTGATTCCACATGCCATAGATGACTTCTGTTAACACTGGGTATATTATGCATATACATGTGTACAGAGATTCGTCAAATATTTTTCAACTATGCCAGACCCTAAGCTAGAATCTGGCTGATAAAAGGAAGGAAATCCAACTTCCAAAGACACACTGCTATCATGATTTTTTCTCTAGGTTTTCTAAAATGCATATATATTAGAAAATAATATGTAAAATGTGTTTTTCCTAATTATCAAGTGCCTTAAAAAAACAGGTTCCATTTTTACCCCAATAAATCCATACTTAATTTTTTTCCAACTTGCCAACAGTTGTAGTTTTATAGTTTACCTGCAAAGCAAACACATTCAATCATGTACAAATTTTTCTGGTTTGTAATTAAGATTAGCTTGCTCAGATTATAAAGACAAAATATGTTCCTACAGAACCTTTCATTCAGAACTACAGAAAGAGAAGTAAAAGCAATGTCCTATCCCCAGGTCAACCAATTATTAGCAACTCCTGAAAGACCTTGGGGTAAGTTAATGACATCTCTAAGCTTCAGCATCCCTGCTTGTTTATGGGATTGGGGGTGGGTGTTAATATTATCTATATCAGGATTATAAGGAGAGAATGTTATAAAGTGATTAGCAGAAGACATGCACAGAGAAGCATTTAGTAAATGATAGCTGTTAACTAATAAAGTTGGCATACTGCATCATTGTTTTTAACTACTTTCATCTGAATGATTTTCACAGCTTGTTTTCTTTGAAAGTATTAAATGTCTGCAATATTTCATCTGTGACTATGCCCTCATTTTTTCCATTTCCCTCTGAGTATATATTTCAATTCCCTAAATTTTCACAATTATGAATTAAGCAAGATTTAATATTCTTACATAAAATTTTGTCCATATCTAATACCCGGTGATAAATTCTGAGAAGTAAAATCTGTCTTTAGTGACTATTTCAAAGGATATCTTTGCAATTCTAGTTATCTGACCGTTTGGATTTATATTTCTTTAATTACTGGCCAAACTGAAGTTTTTATTTATTGAGCATGTGCATTTTTTGTGTGCAAATAGTTTGTTCTTGTCTTTTGCTTTAAATGTCCTATTTGCTACAGAGACTTTTTATCCTCAATTTATGGCATTTTTATGGGGGCATGGCTATTCAATTTTTTTTGAGATATAACTGACATAACTAGTTCTCAGGTGTACAACATAGTGATTTTATATATAGTGAAATGATCACTACAATATGTCTGGTTAACATCCATCAGTACTCGTAGTTACAAATTTTCTTTTCTTGTAATAGACCTTTTATAGCCATCCCTGGTGGTCAGGTGGTTAAGATTGAGCACTCTCAGCGCTGTGGACCATGTTCACTTCCTGGTCAGGGAACCACACTACCCATCTGTCAGTTGTCACAGTGTGGTGGCTGCTGTTGCTGGGCTGCTGAAAGCTATGCTACCAGTATTTCAAAGACCAGCAGGGTCACCCATGGTGGACAGGTTTCAGTGGAGCTTCCAGACTAAGACTAGGAAGAAGGATCTGGCCACCCACTTCTGAAAAGTTGGCCATGAAAACCCTATGGATAACAGCGGAGCATTGTCTGACACAGCGCTGGAAGATGAGAGGATGGTACAAAAAGACAGGGCAGGGTTCTGCTCTGCTGTGCACAGGGTCTCGAGGAGTTGGAACTGACTGGAGGGCACTAACAGCAATGAGAAGTTTTAAGATCTACTCTTAGCAATTTTCATATATACAATACAGTATTATTGTCAACATAGTCACCATGCTGAACATTGCATCCCCAGGACTTATTTATCTTACAGCTGGAAGTTTGTACCTTTTGACCACCTTCACCCATTCAATTTAATGTAGTCAAATATGTACGTCTGTCTTGCATTTTGACCTTTTGGTGATAATTTTGCTGTTTTTTTACATAGTACTGATGTCAAATTACTTGTCCTTTATCCTACTGCTTATGTGGTGCTAATTCTTAACATGCTAAGGTGGCATTTACTGCTTGTCTCCTGTTCAAATAGCTTTCCCTCTTTCTAGTTGAAATCAAGATGAATTTTTCCTATAAATTTGTAACCATTTTATATTAACAATATTAATATTTATTTATAGCAAGTATGTTACAGCATTTTTGAGTATGTCTTAACATGCAAGTTTTTGTTTGTAAGGTAGTGAAATTTATTTTTCCTTTGTCTTTTTTTAATGCTTTCTTGCATAATTTTTTCCCATCACGAGATGGTCTAATTGTCCCAGTACTTTCTTATTGTTATGAATCTGACTTTTTTTTTTTTAAAGATTGGCACCTGAGCTAACAACTGTTGCCAA